GTCTTAGGGAATTTCTTCAATTTGAAAAGGTTGAAACTAAACTTCATAGTGAAATGTTTCAGAAAAAGAAATAATGAAAACTGTACAGTGAGATTCAACTTGGGTTCACCTGCTTTGAACTTAAAATATATGTGGTACCACTTCAGTACTTGATAGTGAATCTTATACATGTGTATCTCAGACAAGTCTCACAATTGTACTGTAAAAGGAACATAGACATATGTTATGACTTCTGAGAGTGACCTGGAAGTGGTTTCAGAATCTGAGGCTTCATTCTCTCTGAAAAAGATCAGACTGTGTGATAGAAGGGTTAAAAACTCAGGGAGAATGAGGCAGCACAGGTCAGGATGCAAGTCCTGCTAATTAATACAGGGAACTGACAAAGGATGCTGTAATAAACCAGTGGATGTTGGGAGCATGGAACTTGTTTCCTAGGAACACTGAAACAAGTCTAAGGGAACATTTGGCTAGGGTGTTGGAAAACCAACATAAATAATATTTATTCACCTTCATGGAAAGGCAGTGGAGCATCTGCCACACATTAGGCTCTGTGCTATTGGAAGGGTGTCCTGGAGTAAATTGGTCAGTGTGATTGATCTTCAGAGTGATCACAGAAAATGAAATTAGAGCTGAGCTGAAGGTATGGCATGCCCAGGGTGGGTGTAACAGGTCCAGAGTGTGGAGCTCTGAGCATGGAGTCAGCAAGGGGATTGCTCTTGTAGATTTACCAAGTTCACAGATTCCACAGACTATGAAGTTCGAAGTACAAGGTTGGGCAGCTAGAAGTGGTGAGGATTTTTTTTTACCTGGTGGAGAACCTTTAGACCCTTCTCTTTGTCCCAACTTATTATTTTGTCTTGTGATGGGGGCCCTTTTACTTTTTGTCACAATAGATTGCCCTTGTGTACCAATGTGTTGGCTGGGCATAGGACCATTTTGTCCAATACTATCAGTGGGGCTAGTATCCTCAAGAAAAGGGATATGTTTTCTCAGTCACTGTAATATCCTTGCATTCACCACATTGTTTGGTACCTGCAGCTGTGAAGTCCTGAGGACACACTGTTGAGTGAACTATGCCTGACCTCAGGGATGGCTTGTAGAGATGGGAGATGCAGCTGGTCCACACGAGCAACCAGACTGGCCTGGCCTGATATTAAACAGATCCTCTCAAGCATTCTAGCCAGAGCTAGAACTGAGGATATTATTTTTACTTTTCATTTTTTTTTCTTCTTAAGGTACAAGATTGGGCAGCATCCAGCCTCCTGAGCTGTAACCGAATCTTACACAGCTCAGAACAGGGAAATTGTGGATGTTGCCTTGTTTTGCAAAGATAACAGGCTGCAGCCATGAACTTCTGCTTACAGGCTCCACGCTGAGCAGTTTGCAAATACTGGCTTCTCTGAACTTCACTGAGGCTCTGGTCTCTCATCTTCTTATAAAGGCAAGGCCTCATTGGATTGACATCTTACCCTGTCATCCCATTTGTCCTTGATTAATTCCTTCCAACATCCTTCTGAGCAACATAGATTAAGTTTTCACCAACTTTATTACTAACTACATGGAAAGTATTATTCCCATTTTATAGATGACAAAACTGAGTCTCAGAGGGCTAAAGAATATGTTCAGGTCACAGGGCTACAGAGAAGAGTCTGAATCAGACAGCTGAGCTCCTCAAAACCTTTCTGAATGGCAAACTTGTGCTCTTAACTGCAAAAACTAACATTAAAACTAAAACACATAATGGTGTCAACAAAGCATACAAATGGATGGTTTTATTTAAATATTAAAAATGGGGCTGTGGGAATGGCTGAGTAGATAAAACACTTGCTTCATAAGCATGAAGATGGAGTTGAGATCCCCAGAAATGACATGGAAAGCCAAGAGGACCAACTGTAACCCCAGCCTTTGGGAGGCGGAGCAGGGCTTTCAGCAAGCTGGCTGCTAGACTAGCCAAAGCAGGGACTCCAGGGTCAGCAAGAAGCCTGCCAATTAAAGAGGAAGGCATGGGCATTCAATCTCTGCCCTTCACATGAAAGCACATGAACCCTCACATGCATTTGCACACACATTTGAACACATGAACAACACAGATACATACACACATGCAAATTAAATATTTAAAGAAAGGACAACATGGGTACTATAAGGCAGTCTGTCATATGATGGCTAGACAGGTTTTCATTTCTCTGTCATCCAATTTCTCCTTCATTTCCAAAAGACTGTTTATCATCCTCCACCAGCAAGTCAGAAATGTTGAACAAGATTGAGTTTGGGATTCTGAAGTATTTTTATTAACTTAGAAGAAAAGCCCAGGAAAATCAGTCTATACTTCCATTTCAAAGGCCTCAAG